CATTAGACCATCTCTAAATCTTGGGTTAAAACCTAAAATCTTTAACTCAGAAAATTTAGATTTCAACCCAGAAACAGTTTTTTGCTCCAATAGTTCTGGGTTAAAATTTTAGCCCAAGATTATTAAATAATGAATTTAGGCTAAAAAAATTTTCGCTAACTTTTTTCAAAAGAAAATTTATGTAGATTATCATAATTTATTTCTATGAACATTTGAACCTAAAAGTATTTAGATTCCGAGAAAATTTGAAAATTCATTAAACCTACTCCACGAAACCTGTATTTAATATTTATAGAGTTTTTGGATGAATTTTGATTTAAATAAAAAAAATTAATTGTTTTAGCCGTTGGATTTTATTTCAGGCCTTTAGATCTTTCCTTTACCGTTAAATTTGATCATATTTGATCTTAGCTGTTGGATTTGATGTATTTAAAATTTTAAAATTGCCCAAATATATTTTAGGGTTTAACCCCAAAACTTATTTTAGATCCAACCATTGGAGAAGGATTGGTTAGTTTAAAACCTAAATTTTGGTGGGCCAGCCTTTTAACCCTGACCTAAATTCTGGGTTAAATTTTTCCAAATTTTAGGTTTTAACCCAAAAAATTAATTTAGGCTCAATCATTGGAGAAGGACTAGGTTAGTTTAAAACCTAAATTTTAGGTTTTAACCCAAGGGTTGGAGATGGTTTTAGAGGTTGAACCAAATTCACGCACTGCCGTTAATGGAGGAGATGCACAAATCCAAGTACATGTAAAAGAACAAACTATCGTAAGCAAGCCAAAGATCGAGAAGGTGTGCTAGTCATAGACTCTTTAACGGTCAAGTTAGTAAGCAATATAAGACTCAAGCAGTAGGTAAGAGAATAAGTATGCAAGAATTGCACTGCTAGAAATGAACCCTAGAAAGGTGTATTTATACCAGTCAATGAGATGACTTTTTAGGATAGTAAAATCCTCATTAAACTAGGAGAGTCCCAAAGGATATCTAGGAAGTTTCCATCCTCTTAGAAGTGTGATTACTTGTGGCGTACTCCAATCCTTAGATTGTAAGAACCCCGAGATTATAGGAAACCCGTTGATTCTTTGCCAGATTAGGTTTCCTTATGCAAAACAAACATGGTCATTCTCAAGGGAGTCATTGAACTTCACTTACTAATTTTGGAACATGATGGTGATGGTATAGTTGCTTTGCTTATTCAGCTCCGCAGTGGAGGCTGTTGAGTCCATGACCAGACTTTTGAGGTATGTGTATACCGATCTGCCTTACTACGATCTTGGAAAACTTTGGTCCCACAATTGCCCCTAACTATGTAACTATGTATCTGAAAGAACTTGTTTCCCTTGAGAATGGATAGTTATCCAAAGACCATACCCTTTGGAGTAAGTCGAATTACATACCGTTTTAATTCTTCTAACGCGTGGCATTCTAGCTTCGAACCTTGTGAACTTTTGACTTTTCGGATTTAGACATTTGGTCTTGAGAATCATAGAGAGTAATCAGCAATGATGAGAGATGTTACGTGGTTTTTGCACACTTAGCAAGGAGTGGCTCTTTGCATCACCGAGTGACTTCGTCTTTCGAACATATGAATCTCAAGGCAAAAACTCTTCAAATTCAACAGTGAGAACTCTTTACAGCTCCTCTTTAAGTAGCCTAACCTTAGTTTTGTTTTCTCAAACTCTTTCTTTTAAGTTTCTATCCCTTTCATGCCTCAGTTCCCAAACTCAATTTTTACTTTAAGCCTTCGATCATTAGAATTTGTAACCAAGGAACTTACCATAACTATTTCTATCAAGCAAAATCAAATGAATTATGGATAAGCCATAATTGTTCTTCCCTAATCGGGTTCCGTAGCCATCATCCTTTATTGAACCACTGGCAACATCCTCCTCACAGCCTTAGTATACGGATTCAACTTCAGGAGAGTGTTGAGATTCTTCAATGGGTTCTTCTTCATTGGAGGCTTCCCGATTCTTCCTTGAAGTAGAGCCTTCCAGTCAGCTTGACGATAGATTGATCCTCGTCATAGTTGATAATCCTTGTCAAGTCAGCCATGTAGCATCCTTAGGACAATTGGCATGTTAGGGGTGAAGGCTTGTCTCCCCAAAGAATTGTACTCCTTTTGCCCTATTCATGGGACTTTGATAATAAACATGTGCTCGCATGTTTTATGAGAATTTATGACTTTCTTGAAGTCATTCATTTTGTTAGAATAAAGTGCTTGAAACTTTTCATCCCTTCCTTCCTAATCAAGAAATAGTATTTTAATACAACAAATCTTTCCAAGTAAATCTAACTCTAGAGTAATGAGCAACAAAGTAAAACATGAACAAATTTATAGGCCCGGGACAAAACTCAAAGTCCCCTAGGTAACGTTGATTTGGAAAAATATTACCTCACAAACTTAGTGTTCATAAGGATTTCCACTGCGATAACCGAAGTACCACCTTACTACGACACCGGGTGTAAGCCCATGGAAAATTTTTGCTCCGTACATGCCATGATGCCTTAGTCAGATTAAATATGAGAAAATGATAGGACTTTGCCTGTAATATCCTTTAGAGCCTTGACTTTGATGAGTTTTTCTTCTTTTAGATAGCGTACCGCTCGTTTGTTCACCTTACCCCATTTCGGGTCTAAGGATTTTAAAGATTGCAATGTGTCACTGAGAAGGGGCTTCCTTTCCAGTCCAAATTGCATGTTCGTCTTTAATGATTCTTACGCAAAAGTTCATTAAGGACTTGGTTGCTAGCATGTGGGCCAATGAGGGGGGAGGGAAATCTCTGTTATTGCTGCTAGGAATTGGGGCACACAGCCTGTATTCTGATTGCTCTAATTTTATTTTTTTTGTTACTGAACGCCTAAATGACGTCCATTTACAATTTATTTAATTTTTTTTTCCAGGACCAAAACAACGTCATCTTGGCCTAGATTTTTTAAAAAATAAAAAATAAAACCCTACAAGCAATAGAGCAACTAGACAGGATTGCAGGTTTTTTTACGAGACCAAAAGGCTAGAAACCATCGCTCCTGGGCTTGATTTCCAACAAGAAAGGGGCGGCCGCCCCTTCTTGTGCCTCTATAGCTTCGCCTTTGTCACTAATGTAGCCTGTACAAAATGATTCCTCTATTTTTAATTAGAAATACTTAGTATGAACAAGTTGTTGATTGACCTACTCATAGGGTCTTCTTCTTTAACTCATATCCCAGATATTCTACTCGAATTTCTTCTACTTCATTATCGCTTGTATAAAAAAATGCATATACTTATTTATATATATATATATATATATGTATGTATGTATGTATGTATGTATGTATGTGTATATATATATATTAATTAATTAGTTAATCCTATAATCAGCATTCATCTTAACATGCTTGTGTTAACCAAGTAAGCTAATTCATTAATGAACTAACGTTATCTGTGAGGAAAACATCCAACTGAGGGCCACCTCATCAACTCACAATTTAACAACATATTTTGTAAGAATCACTTTTATAAATTAAGCCATTTTGCTAGTGGTTCTTTTATTGGAATCACGTTTAAATTTTAATTAATAAAGCAAGCAGTTCGTTAAAAATTACATAAAAGAGGTGATTGTGCTTCCATGACCCCCATAAGCATTTTTTAAACTTTTTCTGCTAGACTTTATCAAAAAAAAATTTAGCTGACAACAAACATTTTCGTCATTCTAAAAGCATGCTTTACATCCCAAACCATGTTTTTCTAACTAATGAAATACAAGTTATCAATTCTAGGAATGAAGATAGCAGCCTCTCACCAAATTAGGCTAAAAATTAAGTTTATTTTCTTCCTCTTTGAATATTATAACTAGACTAGTTTGAATATACCATAAATGTGGGGGCCATTTACCTTTAGGGGTTCCAAGGTCAGGAGTATCTTTCAAGTTTCAACCAAGATATGATATGGTTGATATTTAAATGCTCTTAATTAGATTCAAGACAAGACTTTAATTAACCCCATTGGCCTTTGGAACTCACCACCATTCACCAAATCAATTTTTTAATCTGCCTAAAACTCATAACTATTATCCCATCAATCCTTTACATATATTTATTTTAATTGTCTCATCAAACCTTTTTTTAGTCCTTAAAAAGATACTATGCGCCCACACCGCACATATTTGACTGTTAATTTAAAATTAATCAACAGTTTTTAGTCACTCAATTTACCAGTGAATCCAATACAATGATCAAATTTTTATTGGTACGTAGTGCCCCTAGGTATCCAAGAAAATATGTTCGATAAACCAATAGAGCACAATTTGGTTGTGAATAAACTATAGTGTGTAAGCACAAATCCAATAGTCATTAGTCACTTAGTTTAGGCCATTAAATCTAATACAATAATTAAATTTGTATCAAAACTAAATATCTGTAAATACCCAAAAAAAGACGAACATAGCACAATTAGGTTGTGAATAAACTACCGTGTGTAAGTGAAGATGTAGGATAGATAGTTGGACCATGTCCAAACTTGTGCAGTGGCAAAAGCATATTATATCCCAAGTTGCCCTTGCATGTTATTTTCAAGATCAATTTTTTTTCTTTTTCTATAAACGATAAGATAATTTACACTAAAATTAATTAAACTACAAAGAAGGAGATCAATTGACTAAACTCAACTTTTTATATGGAATTGAATTTGGTCTCATACTAATCAATGTGTTGACATTTCTTTGTACTATCTAATTAATAATTTTCATGCCAAGATATCTACCGACCTACATATGCTAGCATTGACAATAAATAAATAAATAATACATAATTTGATGAAACTCTATTTATTTATTTATAATTATTGCCCCCTTGATGATGTTTTGCTCTTTAGAATTTGTTATTAGCATTCCAAAAAGTTATTGTGCACTCTAAAGCTTCAATATAAGAGAAAGAAAATTACACATATGAAGATTACACTTATTGAATTTTTTTCCGTACAATAATATTCTACTATAATGAGAATGTAAAGAGAATTTAAGCTGAATCACAAAAGACCGCAGTATTAAATGGCAAGATTTTCAACTTAAGTAAGCTTACATGATGGCCATAGAGGGGGCCCTTTTGGTAATCATAGTGTATGGACCTGCATTCCAAACCCATTAACAAGTAGGGCCAGGAAACGACCAAACATGGTGGATTGGTTTGGGCCACAAGCATCCATATGGTAAGAGACTCGGACCCCCAAATAGGCTTTGCTAAACATCTGCCGCTGCTGACAATTTTATAGCAAAGGGAACCAAGAGGTAGAACAAAATAAACATGAATATTTGCTTTCACCATAATAGTTCACATATATGCTCTCCATGTTCAACGCTTATCGGCCAACGAAATAGCGCATCTGCTTAAGTTGAACCGAAGTGGACGACTAGTTCACACATTTAATTCCGTAACCAAAATTTCCTGATGGAATAAGTAAATAAATGGAAGAGAAGTTCCCACATCCAAAACTGATAAAAAAAAATTAAAAAAAAAGGTCGTACCCAGTGCACAAGGCTCCCGCTTTACGCAAGGTCTGGGAGAGGTGAATGTTGCAATAAAAACAGGCAGGTCAACATCATGGAAGACGAAGGAGCTTGTTCACACCTGAGTCGAGAGCATCAACATTTCTCCTCAAGATTTTTCTGGTCATGCATTAAGGAACCAAAAGAAAACCCATATCACAAAACCAAAGCATTTCAGGTATAGCAGTTCAAGGGAATTCTAAATTGGGTTGATGAGCAATTTTAACCGCCAGCAGGTTGATAACCCACCAAGCATCCAGCTGCGTTCATATTAGCAGACAGAGCAGGATGAATCCTTGATTTCAGCGCAAGTGACCACCACAGCTATGGTGGGTCTGGGGGAATTCAAGAGCATAAACTATGAAACACACATAGGTATACACCCAAAGTAACGAACTGTTAAGGATACAGCTGCAAGGCTAGATTGTCAATGCCCTTCATTTCTTCATTTAATCTGCCAAAAAAGGAAAATTCAACATCTTGTTCAGAAAGGCCATCGTTATGAGGGACCTAAAAGTTTAACTATCCTAGAACCAAGCACCCAACAGCCACATAAGACTAGGCGTTGCTGAGACAGTCATATCAGTGGTTCCGATACAGGTAAACACTTCCTTGTGGAAGTAGTTCCGTGGCCAGTCACAAATTCACAACAAGAATATGTGCCACACTGTTAATGGGAAACAGAATTTGACAAATATTATATCCTTCTATATACATTGACTGCAAAAGTACTTTTTCATATGACATAAATTAGTAGGAGATACGAGTATACTGAGAAAACAAATAACTCCATGTTTAGATCATTAGGTTGGTGACGAACCATCAATTTATATGACGAAACCAAGTTGCAGGAACCGCTATTCATGGTTACTAATTCAAATTACACAACCTTAATCATGTTGAAGTTGTCAAAGATTCTAGTTGATAGGTTTCCTTTATTCTAGGGCTTATACCCTGGACGTGTTAATAACCCTCCTATACTTGAGGGACAAGTTTGTTATCTGTTTTTGAATTAGTCGATTACCACGATTCTAGGGTTGTTGTTATCGTGGGTTGTTATTTCATTTTTCTTGTTGATGTAAGGCTATTTAATAGCTGATTGATGTCTTTCAGTTTAATAAGAATGCTTCTGAGTTATCCAGTGCAATATACTTTGTGTTCGTATTCTCAAAACTTCACGTAAACCTAGTTCAGTTTCAACATCTGGTATCAGAGCCCCATCACAGGGGCCTAACCAAAAACCAGCAAACACAGTTGCTTGCGTGAAAGAACAAGAATATGACGTCCGAGAACAGTTTTGTGCAACCTGCCATCCCGAGGCTCGATGGGCACTACGATCACTGGAGCATGCTTATGGAAAACTTTCTGCGTTCCAAGGAGTATTGGAACCTGGTGGAGATGGGGATCACTGCAGTCACAGGAGGAGCGGACTCTAGTGATTCACAGAAGAAGGCACAGGAGGAGCTGAAGCTGAAAGACCTGAAAGCCAAGAACTACTTGTTTCAGGCCATTGATCGTTCAATCCTTGAAACGATCTTGAAGAAGGACACGGCGAAAGACATGGGATTCCTTGAAGCAGAAGTACCAAGGAACTGCACGTGTGAAGCGTGCTCAGTTGCAGGCACTTCGAAAGGAGTTCGAAGTATTGCATATGAAGGTGGAGAAACTGTTAATGATTATTTTGGGAGGACACTCACCATAGCTAATAAGATGAGGGTGCATGGAGAAAGAATGGAGGATATAGTGATCATTGAGAAAGTTTTGAGGTCTATGACGTCAAAATTTGACTATGTGGTCTGTTCGATTGAGGAGTCGAATGACTTGGATACTCTATCCATTGATGAACTTCAGAGTAGTCTGCTTGTGCATGAGCAAAGGATGGGTCAACATGTGATGGACGAACAAGCTCTTCAAGTTACCACTGGAGTCCAACAAGGAGGAAGAAGTGGTGGCCAAGGCTCCTATCGGGGAAGAGGTAGAGGAAGGGGTAGATTTGGGTTCGACAAATCTATCATAGAATGCTACAACTGTCACGAACTAGGGCACTTTCAGTGGGAATGTCCTAAGAAAACTAGGGACTCCAAGGCTAACTTTGCAGAAACAAATGAGGAGATGCTGCTAATGGCGCTGGTGGATGCCAAGGAAGCTGAGACGAAGGCGCTGGTGGATACAAAGGAAGCTGAGACATAGCATATTTGGTTTCTTGACTCAGGATGTAGCAACCACATGTGTGGTAGAAAGGAAGCGTTGTCGAAATAGATGCAAATTTCAGAGAGTCAGTCAAGCTGGGAAACAACTTCAGTCTCAGTGTGCAAGGCAAGGGCAAAGTACGAATGGAGGTGCATGGGATCGTACATGTGATTACAGACGTCTTCTTTGTACCTGAATTAAAGAATAACTTGTTGAGTATTGGTCAACTGCAAGAGAGGGGACTCGCAGTGCTCATGCAACATGGAAAGTGTAAGATCTTTCACCCTGAGAAAGGTCTCATTTTCGAAACTGAGATGACATACAACAGGATGTTTGCCTTGTGTGCTCGCTGTCCGGTAAAGGAACAAAGTTGTCTCTCCATGACAACCACAGATCAAGCTGATCGCTGGCATTGTCGATATCGACACTTAAGTTGGAGCGGTCTGAAGGTGCTACAACAAAAGAACATGGTTAAGGGGCTGCCAAAGCTCAAAGCTTCTCAGAATGTGTGTGAAGGCTGCCTTGTGGGGAAGCAGCATCGTGACTCTTTTCCTAGGGAAAGTGTGTGGAGAGCGTCAAAGATCCTGCAGTTGATACACGCTGACATTTGTGGTCCCATAAATCCAATCTCAAACAGTAAGAAGAGATATTTTATCACTTTTACAGATGACTATAGTAGAAGAACTTGGGTTTACTTTCTGGTGGAGAAATCAGAAGCCTTCACCGTATTCAAAACATACAAAGCTAAAGTGGAGAAGGAAACTGGATCATTCATAAGGGGTTTGAGGACGGATCCAGGAGGTGAGTTCACATCACATGAATTCACAGATTTCTGCAATGAGAATGGCGTTCAAAGGCAGTTGACAGCTGCCTATACGCCTCAACAGAACGGGGTTGCTGAACGGAAGAATCGAACTATCATGAATATGGTTCGATGTATGCTATCAGAGAAACGGATTCCAAAGACCTTCTGGCCTGAAGCAGTGAACTGGGCTGTCCACGTGCTGAATCGAAGTCCGACCCTTGCAGTAAAGAGCAAAACACTTGAGGAAGCATGGAGTGGGCGCAAACCCTCGGTAGAGCACTTTAGGGTTTTTGGTTGCATCCCTCATGTGCACGTACCAGATAGCAAAAGATTGAAGCTTGATGACAAAAGCCTCAAATGAATACTGTTGGGGGTAAGTGAGGAGTCCAAAGCTTATAGATTGTTTGATCCTATTTCAAATAAAATCATCATAAGTCGAGATGTAGTATTTGAAGAAGATCAACAGTGGAATTGGGATAACAGTCATGAGCAAAATATTTTAGCTGATCTTGATTCTGGGATGAAGGAAATGAAGAAGATGAAGGAGATGAAGAAGAAACTGACGTTCATGGGTCAGATGGCAATAATTCATTTGAATCAGAAGATGCCATAAATGAAGGCAGTGCACCTCAAGAGGGACGAGCTCGAAGGCCACCAATTTGGATGAGAGACTATGACGCTGGTGAAGGTCTCTCTGATGAAGAAGGTATGAACTTGGCTCATCTAGCTTTGTTTACGAATGGCGATCCTACTAGCTATTGTGAAGCTGTGAAAAGTGAAAAGTGGAAACAAGCAATGGATAGAGAGATAGAAGCAATAGAGAAGAACCATACGTGGGAATTGACTGACCGACCAACAGGGGGAAAAACCATTGGAGTCAAATGGGTTTTCAAGACAAAATTGAATGAAAATGGGGAGGTAGACAAGTATAAGGCTCGGCTTGTTGCGAAGGGATATTGCCAACGATATGGAGTGGATTTTTCTGAAGTATTTGCACCAGTGGCACGAATGGATACAATTCGGATGGTTATATCCATTGCTGCACAAAGGAGCTGGAAGATTTACCAACTCGACGTCAAAGCAGCTTTCTTGCATGGAGAGATCAATGAAGAGGTTTTCGTTGAACAACCACCTGGATATGAACAGAAAGGAAGCAAAGGCAAGGTCTATCGTCTCAAAAAGGCACTATACGGGCTCAAGCAGGCTCCACGAGCATGGTACAGTTGAATAGAGGCCTATTTTATCAAAGAGGGATTCAGCAAATGTTCTTTTGAGCACACATTGTTTATCAAGACAGCCAGTGAAGGTAAAATTTTGATCGTATGCTTATATGTAGATGATCTCATTTTTTCTGGAAATGATAGGGTGTTGTTTGAGAAATTTAAGAGATCCATGATGACAGAATTCGATATGACTGATCTCGGAAGTATGAGATTCTTTCTTGGCATTGAAGTACTACAGAAACCAGATGGCATTTTTATAAGTCAGCGTAAGTATGCACAGGCCGGTCCCAAGCCCGGGTAAAGGAGGAGGGGGAGGGCGTCAGGTAGTCGACAGCCGGCACTCCACAGTTACGTCGAATCCTTATGAAAATGAATTCAGAACGAAATCGCGCTAAAGCTAGGGCGTCACCTGTAAGTGGCGCGCTGTGTGGCCCGAGCACAGTGATAAGTGAGCAAGGGTCGCTGTATCTCCATAGGCATCCGGATGCAGTGTTAAATGAGCAAGGGGGCCATAGAAACTTCTTTTCGAACGACTCCACTCAAAGTTGTTTGGGCGCATATGCACCTATCAACTTTACACGGGACACACAAAAGAAGTACTTTGATTCCATTGGACGGGGGAGGGTGAAGAAGCTAGGACAGAAGGGTAGAGTTCAGGAGAGTAGAATGCGTTTAGGAACGTGGAATATAGGAACCTTAACGAGAAAATCTATGGAAGTAGTGGAAGTTATGGTGAGGAGAAGGATAAATATTATGTGCCTACAAGAAACTAAGTGGGTTGGTCTTAAGGCAAATGATCTAGAAAACTCAGGGTTTAAACTTTGGTACTCGGGCACAAATAGAACGAGAAACGGTGTTGGCATCATCGTGGACAAGACCTTGACACAAGATGTTGTAGATGTCAAGAGGGTAGGGAGATAGAATCATGGCAATCAAGATTGTAATAGGACAAGAACTTATCAATGTGATTGATTAGTGCGTACGCACCTCAAGTAGGGTTGGATATGAGTTCGAAGGAGAAATTTTGGGAAGACCTTGGAGACTTGGTGCAAGGAATTGCTCAGACGGAGAAGTTATTTATAGGAGGAGATTTAAATGGACACGTGGGCAGGGGAGACATGCAACTATGGAGGTTTTCATGGTGGCCATGGTTTTGGGGAGAGAAACGAGGATGGGGAAGCTATCTTGGATTTTGCAATGGCATATGATCTCTTCTTAGCCAACACCTTCTTTAAG